GTAGTAGTAGTAGTAGGTAGTAGTAGTAGTAGTAGTAGTAGTAGTAGTAGTAGTAGTAGTAGTAGTAGTAGTAGTAGTGGTAGTAGTAGTAGTAGTATTAGTAGAACTCGGGTATCGGTAGTCGTAGTAGTAGCAGTAGAAGAAATAGTACTACTAGTGATCGGGAGCATGGTGAGGATGTGTGATGATGATGAATGTAATGATGGCTGTTGAATTTTCTTATATGTATCAGGAGATGTATATAAGCGGATCCATGTGTCTATCCAATGCGTCGCTTTTCTCCCTGCCCTGGGACTGGTTCGAATAACGGGGGCTGGTTCGAATGATGTCTGTTAATGTGGTATATAAAATGTGTGTCGCGCGCTCTGTACTATATGAGAGCCGTGCGTTGGAACATGAAATTCGCCAAATCGCGCCCGGGTGAATTCCATGCCGTGTACTTCAAGATTCGGAACATATGAATTACAATAACGCATCTGGGGCTTTTGTTTCCAACTTGTGCGCCCCAAACCATATGTGGACCGACACAACCAGTATTGACGCATGACCTTGTTCGCCGCCTCTGCCCTGTACGATGGCATGCCCTTCAACACCTCCATGTTCAAGCATCGCTTGTGGTCCGCACCGCGTGCAAACAAATTTGATCGTTCAACAAATGCTCAAATATTCGTGTCGAAGGCTCCGATGCCTTCCACACGGGAAATAACTTTCGTAGTGCGCGCATCCACCAAATACCGAAATCTATGAATGGAGGCTTCTGTTCCATTGTGGTCTGCTATGCCGAAATCGTGGCATGGGGTTGCATTGATTGCGCTGGAATTGATTTGCAACCGTTTTGGCAACCAAACGACCCAGGACATCTCCCGCAACGCACGCAACACATTTGTAAACATAAGTGTGTGCTGGCACCTGCGGATGCGATATTGAATACTCTGGGAGAACACATCAACACTATTCATGTCGATTGTATTTTCCCACTGGTCTCTCCCAACTTACACTTTTGATTGTCTTCCGTGGTTGCCCTCAACAATCGCCGGTTTCGTTTCGGTTTGCTTTCCGTGGTCCTGATTTCACTTCCGTTTGTTCTCAATGACCACGCTGCTCTCTCGTCCCAGCGTTCCCGGATATCGTTTCCGATTGCAATCCCGTGGCCCTTTCCATGGCAACGTTACGCTTTTCTCCCTCAGCAATTTTGCGTTTCAATTCCGCTTGCTTTCCCTTGGCCATGTTCATTTACCGTGACCGCGTTTTTTGCTGTACAATTTCGGGTTGTTCCCGTGCACAGGGACTACGACAAATATGTCCGTAATACGGAACACGGCTTCCATCTCAAAAGTCATGGGCCCCGATGACCTTTTGCTTTTCCCCTGTCCGTTTTCCCACCCTTCCTGCGTTGGGTTCTTGTTTTGAATCAGGCACCGTGGTCGCGTCTTCCTTTCTTCCCGCCTCCCTCACGCACTCCAGTAGTGGGCGGCGATGTGCGAAACTGTCGCCACTTTCGAATGCTGCGGGGGGGGGGGGCAGCACAGTCGCCCCAACCAGGTCCATATAGAACCTCGCCATCCTCGGGGGGCTGCGATGTGCGAGGCTGTCGCCACTTTGGAAGCCTGTGTGGGGGTTGGTGGGGGGGGGGGCGGCAGCACATTGAGGCCCCACGCGGACCTACGTTAGATCTCGCCATCCCTGGGGGGTGGGGAAGTCGCTGGAGGGGGGGCGGCGGAGTGGCGTTCCACGCAAACTTAAAGTATACATCGCCATCCCGCGGGGGGGTGCGATCTGCGAAGCTGTCACCACTTTCGATGGCTGCTTGGGGCTCCAGCCTGGTGACGCCCCACGCAAACATACACTTAACCTCGCCCTGCGATCTGGGGGGCTACTGGGGTTCTATCGGGGCGCCCCCGCGCGGACGTAACTTAAACCTCGCCATCCCGTGAGGGGCTTCGATCTGCGAAGCTGTCGCCACGTTCGAAGACTGCTGGGGGTTCCAACGGGATGCCGCCCCACGCGCACTTTAACTAGACCGCGCCATCCCAGGGGGTTGCGATCTGCGAAACTGTGTCGCCAATTTCGATGGCTGCTGGAAGGGGGGGGGGGCACGCAAATTTAAGCCGTACGCGGAACCACATTCTATCTCGCCATGCCTGGGGGGCTGCGACCTGCGATGCGGTCGCCGCTTCCGAAGACTGCTGCTGAGCAGCAAGCACAGTGACACCATACGCGGATTCAAATTCGACCTTGCCATCCTTGGGGGGGGCTGCGGTCTGCGAGCATGTCGCGGCTTTGGGGGGCTTCTGGGCTTCTGGGGGGGGGGGGGTGCGGGACAGCGCAGTGACGCCATGCGCGGATTCACAATGGACTTCGCCACTCTTGGGGGGGCTGCGATCTGCTCAGCTGTCGCCACTTTCGAAAGCTGCTGGTGGGGCCTAAGACAGTGACGCCATACGCGGTTTCAGGCTAAGCCTCGCCACCCCCTGGAGGGCTTCGATTGGAACTGTCGCCGCTTTCGAAAACTGCAGCGGGTTCGAGCGGGGTGACGCCCCACGCGCACTTCAATTCGACCGCGTCGTCCCAGGGGGCCGCGGTCTGTGAAACTGTCGCCAATTTCGATGGCTGCTTGGGGGGTGGGGTGGGGCTAGCACAACTACGCCATACGCTGAACCAAAGTATATCTCGCCATGCCTGGGGGGCTGCGACCCGCGATACGGCAGCCACTTCCGATGACTGATGGGGGACAGCGCAGGAACCCCATACGCGGATTCAAATTCGACCACGCCATCCTTGGGGGGGGGGGGAAGGGGGCTGCGATCTGCGAACCTGTCGCCACTTTGGGGGGCTTCTGGGCTTCTGGGGGGGGCGGGGCAACGCAATGACGCCATGCGCGGATTCACAATGGACTTCGCCACTCTTGGAAAGGGGGCTGCGATCTGCTCAACTGTCGACCCTTTCGACGGCTGCTGGGGGGGGGGCCTGCACCGTGACGCCATGCGCGCCTTCATACTAAGCCTCGCCACCCCATGGGGGGCTTCGATCTGCGAAGCTGTCGCCACTTTCGAAGGCTGCGGGGGGGGCGACGACAGCATGTGGGGGCCCTACTCAGACTCAAAGAGGGCTGCTTAGGCGGGGGCAGCAGAGTGGGTACCTGCCGCGGACCTAGACCTCGCCGTTCCGTTTGGGGGGTGCGATCTGGGACAGTGCTACCACGTTCGAGGGCTGCTGGGGTGGGCAATTCCCTTCCCCTCGAGCCAAGGAAATATCTAGATACATCCATCGAGCCCCTGTCCATCGATCGGTGTCGTGCGAGTCGCGCAGCTCGGCGAACCTCCCAAGTAGCGTTCGCAGCACATTGGGTCCTTGCCATGTTATCACCCCCGATAATTTCTGCCCAACTCTTCTGGCCACACGTTGCGCAAGGGTTGGGCACATCGTCGATCTACTTTTCCTCCGGATGGAACGACAAGGAAGAACATATAACAGAGCAAAGGCGGGGGTCGGAGAAAGACGTCGACAACACGGTAAGTTCAATAATCTGAAGGTCAATCTGATTACAATGGTAACTGTGCAAGAACAACGCGGCATCGCAACGCCGTCAACAACATGAAACGTGATGCGCCCGTGATGGCAGGGCGACAAGGCTTGACAAAACATAACCAATGAATTGATAGTGTGAATACCGGGGGGAACGACAAAAACATGAAAAAGGCAACATCCTTTCATATAGTATTAAAACATGGGCATCTGAGGGTCCCGGAATGGAGGGAACCTGCTGATGCTGCTTCTCTTCTCTCCTTCTCCCACTCCTCCTCTTCGATATTTCTCTCGACGGTTCTTCACCAGCGCCATATTTGGCAAACCTCCCAATGTTGTAATTCGGGAAATCTGGATCCGCAACTGTGGAAACCCATAAACGCAATTATGGAAACCCGAACCCGCAATTATGACATCATGGTCTGAATTTATGGAAACCCATGCCGGCAATTTGGAACCCCGGGACTGCAATGATGGGACCCCGGGTCTGCTGTTGATTGAAGCCTGGGCCCGCCGTTACGGGAAACTGGGGTCCGCTGCTATAGAAACCCTGGTCCGCTGTTATGGACTCCACCCGTGTCGTAGCCATGAACACCTGTATTCAATTCCGGAATCCCTTGCTTCCGTGTTTAGACCCTCCCGAATCCATGGGGTGACACGGGGATGGGGCGAAGACAATGTCAGACAGTCTAGGCCTCTGTATCGCCAGGACCGTTGCCAACCACGAGCGTGGATGCGGTCTGAGCGACGCTGAATCCAAGAGCACGGAGCGCGCGTATGGACACGCTGAAGCTGTTTCCCCGACCGCTGGCGACAGCTGACACATTATCGCGCTGCTCGTCTACACGTCCTGTCCTCCTGATCGCGGGAC